CCACACACACACACACACGGCCGAAGTTGACGTGCCGGCGGCCCCCCACACCGCCCCTCCCGCGCCTCCCTTCGCAGCGCCCACGTCGTTTGCTCCCCGACCCCGCGAACTCCCTCCCCCCCCCGCGGGACTCTCGCCGGAAGCCACGCAGCCCCACGCGACACTCACCCGCAGCCGCACCAAAAAAAACGTCACCGACGGCAGCCGCCCCCTCCCCCACCGAAGCGCCCGCAGGCGCACTGCCGCCACGCGGCACGTGCACGAGCGCCGTGCCGGCGACCGCCACTTCCCCCGAGCCCTCCGGCAGCCACGCGCCCCGCCCGTGCACCGCCGCACCCGCCGCAGCCGCAGGGCCCACGCATCATGCCGGACGCCGTGCGAAGCGACGCTGCCTCCCGCAGGCGTCGTGCAGTTTCTTTTTTCTTTTTTTTTGCGGCTCGGCGCGACTGTCTGCGCATCCGTGGCGGCGACGGATGAAGCCCTCGCGGCCGCACTCCCTTCACACGCACACGCACCCACAGAGAAGTGTGGGGCGAGGCGCAAAAGAGAGCCCCGCACACACGCCGCGGCAGGCGGCACGGCGCAGGCGAAGTGCGACGCCCCCTTCCTGCGAGGGGGAAGACACGCGGAGGAGAAGCCGGCCGCACGGCGCACGCCCAACAAGGCACGCGGCGAGAGGGACGGGGCGGGCCCACAGCCCGCCGCACAGCCTGCCGCAGCGGACAACAAAAAAAAAGAGCCGTCGTCGCCGCAAACTAAAGTTGCCTCTAGCGGGAAGGAGGAGGAGGAGGAGGAAATGGGGGCGTGTCGGTGACACAGCCGGAGGCGGGGAAAACAAGACGCGGAGACACGCAGCGGCACAGCGGCGGACACGGCGCACAAACTCAGCGTGAGCCGCGGTGAGTTGCCACAACGAAAAAAATTAAAACAAAAAAAAAGAAATGAATAATTCCCGCAACGCCCCTCCCAAAATTAAATGAAAATAAAACGAACTCACTTCGGCAGGTGGTGTTGTTCCTTCACGTGTCCAGAAGCACAAGAGGACTGTGAGAGAGTGTGTGTGTGTAGTTTATTACCTGCGCGAATAAAAGCAAAAGAGGTTGCTTCAGGCCACGCAACCACACGCATCACGTTTGCAGTTCACGGTGGCAGCGGCCTCGTGCCTCATTTGGGCACTCCGTGCGGCGCACAGCAATGAGGCCGGCAACGCGTGTGTGTGGGCGGCGGCAGCAAACAGGAGGGGAAAAAGGGTGCGCCGCCCATGGGGTCGTGCATGGGGTGGCGAAGCAAATAGAAAGGGGGAAAGAAAAGGAAGCATCCCTCACAGCACAGGAGGGAGAGTGAAGGACAGACCCACAGGAACGACAAACAAAATGAGCACAAAAAGAATACGCGTCGTCCCTGCCAGGGTGTGCGTGTCTGCGTGCGGCTGCTTCTCAGTTTTGCCCCTCAGAAACACCCAGCAGCAGAGGCGAGTAGCAGCAGCAGCAGTGGGGCACGCATCCACGCAGTGGCGATGTTGGCAGTGCTGTCCGCGTTGCTTTTCGCGTGGCTCCCGGCGCTCGGGCTGCGGGTGGTGGTCGTCGTCGTGGCTCCCTCCACGGCGGTGGCGGCCGGGGCGGCAGCGGACGCGCCGGAATCTCCCGCGGAAGTTGGGGGTGCCTGTGCCTCTCCGGGCCCCCTCGGTTGGGCGGCTGCTGGGTCTTTGGCCGGGCCCGCACCGCCAGTCGTGTGTGGCTGCTGCTGCGTCCCTCCTGCAGCTGGCACTTCTTGGGGTCGTGTACCAGACGCACCCTCCCCATTTGCCCTTGCGCTGGCGGGTTGCAGCGTGCAAACGCCCTGAGCACCATTTTGGAGACCCTCCACAGTAGGAAGGGTCGCGGCGCCAGTGGAGGGGTTTGCAGCCTTCCACTTCGTGTGGAGTGTACCGCCTTCCTTCGTCTCGAAAAGCATCGTAAGCGCAGCAACATCGCCCTGCGTCGTGCGTCCCGCGCAGCGCGAGTCGCACCCGGTCAAGATGAAATTCGATTCGGCAATGAGGCAGACGACGTCACTGTCATCTGCAGCCACCTCAGCCGCAGGAACAGCCGCAGTGCGGGGGGATTCCAGCGAGGCTGTGCACGGTGTCCAACTCGTTGCACCAACAAACCGCCAACTTAACTTCTTTGCACCGTTCGGGCACGACACCTCCACCGGCACTTTCACATTGGCCGCAGCCCCCTCCGCAGTCGCCCCGCAGACGGAGGAGCAGAGCAGCGCGAGGAGCGCCAGGGCGCACACCGCACGGCGCCGCACCGCCAGCGTCGTCATCGGCAAAAGTTGTAGTAGTGGCCGTAGAGTGGCAGACTCGCTGAAGTCAGCGGGGAAAAGGACGCAGGAAACAAGAGAAGCAGAGGGATGGAGAGGGAGTGCAGCGGAGACAGCGAAGAGAGCAGGTGGCAAAAAAAGAAAAGGCGGCAGCCGAGCAACTCCACGCAGCCACGCAAGAAAGACGCACACAACGCCAGCAGGCACCCACGACGGAGCAGCGAAGAGCAGCCGCCCCCANACGCACATGCACACGGGAATGGGCCCGCAGCCACCACCCAAATGAGGCGGCTCCCGCGAGGAAAACGAGTTAGCACAGCGCACTCCCCCTCGTGCCTGTGCGTTTTCCTTCCCTCCTCTTCACGTCCCGCGAGGAAACGGCAGCAGCAGCCGCACACGGC